TGGAACTACATTTTGCGGTGTTAGAAGATAGGCCCTGTTGTGTTCAGACTACTGGGTAGCAATTGTCTCAAAGTTCAGTTGATGAATACATAGCGCTAGGAGAAAAGGAAAATCACATCTGTAAAGTATCTTCCTTCGGATGCTTTCTTAGCGCAGTTTTACACAGTGGGGAGTCTCTAGAGGGCAGACTGCTTTCCCCAGTTACGTGCTTGACCTGAAAGCGCGCGCATGATGGAAGTATTATCAAAGAACTTTTACAGGCAATATGCTTGCCGTACAAGTGTGGGCAGTGGCTTCATGTGTAAATTTGTATAATCGAACATGCCATTTTTGAGAAGGTGGATTACAAACACATTTTTATGTGTATTTTTATGCTTTTCCTTTAGAAACAGAAGGGAGAAAATAAGAAAAAAAGTGTAAATGTCTGACAGAAGCTTGGTGTTCCCCTCTTCCCCACAGCGGGGCAGGGCTTGGCCTCGGCTCTCATTGAAGCTCTCTTTCCTCACTCGAGGGCTGTCCCTGCCTTCATGTTTTCCCGCTGGTTTCCCTCAGTTCGGCTTTACGACAGCTGTCACATCTTGCTCCTGTCCATGTCCCCTCTCTGAGTTGGTAAACAGGTCAGATGGGGCTTCTCTTTCAGGCAGTGACACTAGTGGTGGAGGGGCTGGGGGTCCAGGGTCTGGCTAACCCTGTGTGAGGATGCGACCCCACCCTGAGCAGACTGCCCTTCAAGTGTGCCACCTGGTCTTGCCAGGGGTGTTCTTAGAGCTTCTTAGCTGTACTTTTCCTGTAACCCCATATGTTAACCATCCTCAGCGTACTGAGTTTTGGTTCTATGACCAGGTTGTTCCTGGGGGTCAGAGACTTTCAGGCTCCATCTCTGGAAAACCGTGGGCCACCCTGCATGGCATGCACCAGCATGTGCTTGCTGGGGCCTGGTTGTGCACTGCTCTGGCTTCATTGTGCGGGGGCTGTGCAGTGCTTGGGACGTCCAGGGCATCCAAGAGGGCAGCTTCAGGGACTCTTGGTGGCTGTGAGCATGTTCTTTTTCTGGCCCTTTAAAGGGGCGAGGTGAAGGTCTGTGAAAGAACTGTTCCTGTTGGATTCAGTTCTGCTGCGTTTCTAGAAGTGGCCAGTTCTCTGTTGTCCCTCTTGTCACAGGGAGGTGTCACAGGGCCCCCTGTGAACCGGTCGAGGACCCCACACCACACCTGGCCTGTTTTCTAGCCGCCCAACTCCAGCCGCAGTGATGGGAAATCGGGGGAAGCGGCAGAGTGAAGACAGAGCTGTGGGCACCTGCGGATGAAGCCAGCCACGTCCCGCAGAGCTCCCCAGGGACCTTCTGAGCACATCTGCCAGCTTGTGCACCCCTCATGGAAAACCAGGCAGAAACAAAGCACAGCAAGGCAAAACAAATCCCAGAAGGCGGCAGAACTGCAGACTGTGGCACACGGCAGGTGGTTGTTTTGTGTGGGCTTTGGTTTCCCTTTCCTTGAGTTTTTTGTCTGCTGCAGAGCTGTAGAGGGAACACGGCTGAATGTGCAGAGCAGTCACCCGTGGTGTTCCCGGGAAAGGAGGATACTGAGGAGTGTCCAGGTCCTCCCGACCAGAACAGCGTGGATTTCTTTAGATTACGCAATTGTGAGAGCAGGTGTCTGCATTACTAAGCAGTTCGGGCCAACAATATTGGAAAAATACCGACAGTTTTTTGCTTCAGTGGGCAAACATGCTCGTAGTTTCCTGTTGCAGCAATGCCTGGCTTACCTGGAAGGTCCATGGGCTGGCACAGTTGTCCCCTAGTAGGGCCATGAACCAGGAAGCAGGTTCCAAATGCTCCGAGGCCTGTAGGTGGCAGACTCTGAGGCTGTTGGCTCTGACTTGATTTAAAATAATACCAGGTCATCTCCTGGTCTAAGTGTAGTCATAGGAAATAGAGAAACAATCTGAGAATTTCAGGAGACTCCGGGTAGCCCGATAACAGGGACAAAATGGAGTGGCAAAGTGTGCGGAAGCCACCAAGCCCTCGGAGCCCCTTGGGAGAAGCACTCAGGCCGAGGGTCACTGCCGCAGGATGAGAGCGTGCTGCTGCCGAGGAGCCTGCGTGTGGAAGAACCACAGTTGGCAGTGATTTCAGAGGACGTCCTGGAAGTATAGGTGGGCTTCTGCGAGGGAGGCTGCACTTCACCAGCTGGGACAACTGCCTTGCCCAGCGAGGCCACCTGCCCCCAGTGGGCACCCCATTCCTTTGCTGGTTATATTTGTGTGGACACAGCTGGGTTATATGTTTCCCATTCATTGATAAAAATACGTAGAAAGAAGAAACTGTTTAGTTTTCAAGTACATGAAAGATGCTATTTTTTTTAAAAAGCTTACTTTTCATGATCTTGAGGACCGAACCTAGGACTGTTCTGTGCAAGGCAAGCGCTCTCCTCTACCAGGTGGCCCAGGGCTGCTTGATTTATTTTTAAGAAATTGAATAAAATTATGACAGACTCAGTGGCTCACACCTGTAATCTTGGTTTCTGGCAGGCTGAGGCAGGAGGATTGCCACCAGCATAAGGCCATCCTGAGTTACGTAATGAGTCTAAGACCAGCTTGGACTACATAGCGACACCTTTTCTCAAAAGCGACCACAATGAAAAAAATAGAATTGAGGGCTAGCTAAATAGCTCAGTGGATTAAAGTGCCTGCAAGCAAGCAGAGGGGCCGGGGGTTCCATCCCCGGGCCTGCCGTGCCAGCCCCACCCCTGGGGCACTCTTAGACAGCGATTGAGACTGGGCGTGGTGGTGTAGGCCTGTCATCCCAGCACTTGGGAAGCTGTAAACAAGAGAATCACTATGAGTCCGATCTAGTAGTGAGACCCTGAACACCCTGGAGACCCTTCCCTAAAATAAATAAATAAATAAATAAATAAAAATCCTTTTAAAAATAAATGGAATAGTGAGTGCTTTGGTCCACACTGCTAAGATCTCATGTCTCAGGTATAATTCCTTGCTGGCCCCAAGTAGTAACTAGCCTTAAAATGAAGCTTGTACCCCTTGGTTCATGGCATTGTTCCTCACGGCCGCAAGGTCCTGACATGACCAGTAAAGAGACGTTTAGTTTGCCTTCCAGTTTTTAGGTATTGCGAACAGTACTGCAGAGGGTACGATGAAAGCTGAAACCTTTGCACACATCCCTAATTTGTCAGGGTGTGCACAATGGGAAGGCTTCTGATAGGCCAGTTCCCCTCCCAAAGGGTTGGTCACTGTTTCTGTCTCCCCTGCAATAATATGACGTGTGATCTCCTTCCCAGACTGCGAGCTGTATTTTTTAAACCTTTGCGGATTGTACTGGTAAAAGGAGTACCGCTTAGTTATTCCGACTCATATGTAGTGAGTAATAGTGACTCTGAGCACTGCATATGTTCCTTAGCTGTTTGTGCTTTTGTTTGTGGATTTCCAGCACCCTCCACTCCCACCCTCCATGGTGCTGAACATTGAACCAGGGACTCAGCTGACTTGAGTCCTCAGGCTGCCTTGAATTTGCGCTCCTCCTGCCTTTGCCTCCAAGCAGCAGGGATTGGAGGTGTGCACCACCACCCTTGACCTTTCTTTTCCTTCTTTCTTCTGTTTTGGTTTGGTAGATATGTATACTTTCTTACTGCTACTTAGGTAGTCTCGACTTTTGAAAGAAATTAGCCCTAGATCTGGCACATGCAGTGCAAATATCCAGTCGAATTTGTTTTTTGTTTGCCTTTTATTGTTTTCACGACAGAACTATTTTGGTTGCATAAGAAAAGTCAAATTGTATCCTTTTAAAGACACCTTTCTGAATTTGCAGATTGCGTTTGTCCACATTGAACATGAACTGTTTTAAACTGTATCATATATATCAATGTTAATTTTCTACATTAAAAAAGAATAGTTGCTTCATTCAAAAAAAAAAAAAAATGTTGAATGCATTTTCTCATCTACCGAATGAGGGTATTCTCACCCTGCAAGGTTGTTTTCCTGTTCTGTCATCCGGCCTATAGTAGATGCTCATTAAATGGGAGCTGCATTAACGTCCCACAGATGTTAGCTTCCTTCGGAGGTGTGGACAGAGTGGCGTTGTTTTTATTTCTCTGGTTTTAGGTAGAATTCTAGATGATTGATTTTATGCCTGTTTTCCTTTTAATGCAAAATACTTAAGGCCGGAAGCTTCCTGTTGTTCTGTTGCCTTCCTACTAACTCCCGAGTCATCTGTTCCTGAGTTTCTGTTGGGTATGGGTCACATTTCTAATGGGTCTTTGCGCGTGCAGTACCTGCTCTGCAGTGTTGGGGTCACGACTGTCGTGGTAGAGTGGGATAAAGGCAGTGAGCTGTTGCGGCTGACCGTCGGGTTGGAGCTGGATCTGCCGCCTCTTCAGGGCACCTCAGTCATAGGCCAACTGCTTCCAATTTGGGCCCAGCCCTGTGGTGGGGCTGTGACTTTTCCATGGGGCTTTTAGGTTGCATCCAGTTGTGCTGCTGGGTTTCTCTTTCTTTCGTTTTTTTAGAAAGGATTTCCCTGGCCTTGAGTTCACTGTGTAGCCCAGACTGGCTTCAGACTTGGGGTGACCTTCTGCCTCAGTCTCCCAAGTGCTGGGATTGCGGGCTTACACTGTCACACCTGGCAGAAGTGTTTTTTTTTTTCCTCTGTTCTGCAGTTCTGGAGATTGAACCCAGAGCCTTGCATACGATGAGAAAGTGCTCCACCACTGAGCTACATCCCTGCTTTTCTTGGAAAACAGCTAACTGAAATGTTCTTTAGATTGTCTCAGCCTGTGCCTTTATCTTAGGGTTAGGTTCCTGCTCTTTTCTTTCTCAGTCAAGCTGTCCTTGGTGGGCACAGCTGCCCCTGCCTGTCTTTAGAGCCACTGTTTTGAGTCACCTCGACCTTTATGTCATGTGAGCCGCCCATGGAAGAAAGGTATTTTGTTGTTCTGTGCATGAGGTAGTGTCACCATAGGAGTGCCCTTCTCTCTCTCCCACTTCAGGCACTTCGTCTTAGCAACCTGGCCATGGGGAAGACCACCACAGGCCAGATCGTCAACCTGCTGTCCAACGACGTGAACAAGTTTGATCAGGTGAGCCGCACGTGAGGGTTCATTTTCAACCCTTGCCCGTTTTCTCTAGCTTAACTTGCTGGAACGTTGAGTTTTGGATGTGGAGCAGGATTCTTCTGAGGAGGTGGGATCTGGATACTTCTATCTTCATCTCTCCTCCGTGCGCAGTTTAGACGGAGTGCCATGTGTTTATCCTGTACAGTGGAGTTTTGCTTTCTTTCTGATGTTGCCTGCTCCACACTTCCATACTAAGCCGGCAGAGGATGGTGTTCCTTTCTCCTCAGCTCGCCACCTGTCTGTCTCCCATGGACTCGTCCTTCCTAGTGTTCAGCACGAGGTGAGGACATCGCTGGCTCAATTGTCGCCAACTTGGTCTCTCTGATCAGCTCCTGGGCAGACTCCCTGGTGGACAGTCAGGTTCTGCTTTCCTGGGTTTGAAACCCGCTGTGGTCGCTCCTGTTTGGGTTCTCATCTGCTGTTTTGGAACAAGCAGAACGCTTCAGTGCCACGTTCCCACGAGCTTCATCCTAATGCAGTCCTAAGGACTTGTCTTTTTCTCCAAAGGTGACGATCTTTTTGCACTTTCTCTGGGCGGGGCCGCTGCAGGCCATTGCAGTGACAGCCCTTCTCTGGATGGAGATCGGAGTGTCGTGTCTTGCTGGGATGGCGGTTCTGATCATCCTCCTGCCTTTGCAAAGCTGCATTGGGAAGTTGTTTTCATCACTGCGGTAAGAAGTACTAGCCTGAAAACAGTGTCATAGGTATTTGGTGGCATCCACCATTCTTCTGCCCAGGGCTTTTGTTTAGAAACAAAATGATACCTTGGTCTTTGCACATGATAAAGGCTCTTGAGGCTCAGCCAGTGGCTGGCCCTGCTGTGAGCTGAAGGGTGGTTTTACAATAAAAACTAAAGGTTTTCTGGGATAGCTTTCCAGGCACCATGGGCTCATTGTGTACCGTATTCCTAAGCAGAAGTTACGTAGAAGGCATTTAAGCGTATAGTAAGTAGTAATAAACTCCAGCATTTTCTAGGCCTGGTTCTAACTGGATACATTTAATTTTTTTATTAATATGTGTTTGCAGTACATGATAATTACATCCATCTTGGGGAACTGGGCTTAAGCACAAAGTGACTCAGACCTTATCTTAATTACTTTTCTCCTTACGAAGATTAAATGCCTGACACCTAAAGTTAAAGGAGGAAAGATGGCCCTCTCTGTCCCTTCTGTCTTACCCAGATACTTGGAGTGGTGGCACTCAAACCCTTAATCCTAGGGCCCTTGAGCCTAGCATGGCACCATAAATCAACCTCAGTGTCACACACTCTAGATCTACCCTCTGGCCGCATCATGTGGCTTTGGGGGACACAGAGACACAAGCCATGACAGACCTGAAACAGGTACAGTAAGTTTCTGACTTAGAGATGAGTTCTGTTGTGGGAGAGCTTCTGTAAGTCAGATTTATTTGTAGGGCCAACAAAGGGAGCTTTATACACCTGTGACATAGAATGTAAAAGTTAAAAACACCAAACCCACACTAAAATGCTTTCAATAAACTATTTTTTACTTTTACAGTTACCTTAAAATGATGGTATAGTACAGTACAACTGTAAATAAACTATTTTCATTTTTATAGCTACTTTAAAATGGTGAGGGAGATGTGTCAGCCACTTCTGTGCTTTGCTCCCATCTGCAAATGGCCATAACATGAGGTCCATTTGTATGTGTGAAAGCCCACAACTCCAGAGTTTGTAAATGAGGAACTTACTGTTATATTAAGGATTGGAAGTGAAGCTGCTGTCAAATGGGCAGATGAGAAGCGGGGTGCGGTGGCAACGCCTATCATCCTACCACTCTGGAGGCTGAAAGAGAAGAATCATGGGTTCTAGCCTAGCCTGGGCAACATAAGGAGAATACCTCAAGATAAATAAGGGGTTGGGATGTAGCTCAGTGTAAAGCCCCTGAGTTCAGTCTCTGGTACTACCCCCCCCCCCCTCAAAATGGGTACATGATAGAGACGCTGTGGTGTTTGAACTCTTACTTTTGTGTCTTTGCTCCTGTTGTTTCCTCTGCTCTGAGTTTCCTGTGTTCTCTTTGCTGAGGAGAACCAGTGCTTATCCTTAGAGGTGTCTGGTCCTATGATGCTCTTTCGCTCCCTGCTTTCTTCACAGAATGAGTGACTTTTTCCTTGCTGTTCCTCAGAGCTTCATTCTGTCACCCTGAATCTGCCAGTGCATCCCTGTAGCTTTGAGAGCCTTGCTGCCCTCGCTCCTACCTGAGTGCACCTCGGGGATGGGTTGCTTGCCCTCTACTCATTTTTGGGTGTTCCTCAGCAGACACTGCACACACTCCAAAGTACTTACAGAGCTGAATGAGCTGTTGATTTCGTATTGCTGTCTTTTCCTACTGGTATTATGAGTGGATCCTGCCAGTGCCATCACAGCAAAGCGCTGCACGGAGCTACAGGGAATTGTCTGACCTTCAGACTTTGCCTGGCCTACTGCTACTAAGGAGGGGTGGGCTGTGGTTGCCGTGGCCCACCTTTCCCAACTCTGCCCTTAGGAGTAAAACTGCAGCGTTCACGGACGCCAGGATCAGGACCATGAATGAAGTCATAACTGGAATAAGGATCATCAAGATGTATGCCTGGGAGAAATCCTTCGCGGACCTTATCACCAGCCTGAGAAGGTGAGCTGTTGCGTACGTCATACTGCTCTGTGTTCTTTTGTGTTTACGGAAGGAGTTTAGAAGTCTTAGATGAACTTTATTATGATCTACACCACCACTGCCTGTGCTGTTGCATTAAGTGGAGGGCGCAGGGCAGCACTTTAACCTGCACTACATTTGCTATTTTCTTAAAGCAAGAAAGATAAGCGCTCCTTAGTGGGAGCATTGGGGGGAAGTTCAGTGTGGACATTCCAGGTGTCCTCCCCATCCCCAGGCAGTGATTCTAAGATGTAAATATGTGAGACTATTGCATTTAAAATAACACTACCTTATATCAATGCAGCCAAATGGGTGGACTCTGGAGATGGGCTCCATCAGAGTGAGTCAGGTGATATGAACGAGTACTATTCTCTCCAAGCTGCTGTGGAAAACCATTTCTTTTGTTTCACTTTTTATTGTTAAACTTTCATTGTGGGTTTCGACTTAAATAGTTAATGAGGTTTTTCCACCCTCCAGCAGATGAGCCTTGTAATTCTCTGGCGGCCCTGGCCAACTGTCACCTGTGCCCCGTTATAGGTGTGTCTCTTTGGGTCCCCACACCCTCGTCCCTTCAGTCCTCTGGCTCCCAGCAGGTGTGCAACCCGTGCAGGGCTTTCCCAGCCACCCGCCCTGTCTCTGTGCCACCACGAGTTACTTCTGCTGTCTATGGTCTTGGAGTCCTATGGGCCTGGGGTTGCTGATTCTCTTCTCCTATGAGTCACTGAGGTCCTGGTGGGGTCAGGCTGTGTTTAACTCACTTCTCTGTCATCAAGGAGGTAGCATGTCAGGACTCGGGCTTACAGATGTCTGCTGAGTGAATTTGATTGCTTGCTCAAAGTGCCCCCATGCTGCACTGTGCCCCCCGTTCACTGCGGGTGGTTGAATGATGCACTATTCTGCATTCTGTGTGGTCTTTTCATGGAGGCTGCCATGGGGCTCGTGCTAACAGTATTTTCCTGGCGTCACAGGCAGTTGATCCTAGGGGCAGTCTCCTGCCTTGCACAGGCGCCATGCCCAGGACATGGCTTTCTGACTTTGATGTTGATGCTCCATGAAAACCCATGTCCTGCTCCCTTTTCCAGGAAGGAAATTTCCAAGGTTCTGAGAAGTTCCTACCTCAGAGGGATGAATTTGGCTTCGTTTTTTGTGGCCAACAAAATCATCCTGTTTGTGACCTTCACCAGCTATGTGCTTCTTGGCCACGTGATCACAGCCAGCCATGTGTTTGTGGCAATGACCCTGTATGGGGCTGTGAGATTGACTGTCACCCTCTTCTTCCCGGCAGCCATCGAGAAAATGTCAGAGGCAATTGTCAGCATTCGAAGAATCAAGGTTTGGTGGCAAATAATGTTTAAAGTTGTGGTTTTAAGTAAAATGTCTCTTTCTCTTTTATCTGTTAGCACTGTGTCACCCAGTTAGATGAAGGTTAATTCTTCTCACTCCAAAACAGGTAGTCCAAATTATTACAAATGTCCGAATTTCAGGTAACTGTACCAAAAATAGCACAAGCATTGTTCATCATTTATGGGTTTAGTAACTTTTCTCATTGCTGAAACAAAATATGTGACAGCCACAATTAGAGGAAGAAAGATTTATTTAAGCTCAGATTTACAGAGCTTTTAGTCTGTAGTCACCTGGCTTCAAAGCGGGGCAGTGTGGCAGGAGGACTTCACAGATGAGAAATGGTTCATGGGAAAGCAGGCAGCAAGCCTCAAGCAGCAGCAGAAGCAAGCTTGCATTTCTCTTTTGTCCCATACAGGGTATAAGCCTTTTGGGTGGCGCCACATACATCTGGTGTGGGGCTTCTGTCTTCAGCCACACCCAGAACTATGCTAATTCCAATCAGTGGGCTTCTTACCACACACCCTGGATCCCAGCATCACGTGCGCTAGGTCCAACCAGATCTGAAAAGCCCCAGCTATGAGTGCATGAGACTTTAGGGGACATCTAGATACAAGCTATAGCATGGCACAGTATAAAAAGTGGCAACACAGGGCTCTTGATATGTCATGTTAAGAGTGAGGAAAATGCCTAAAAGTGGGAAGGACAAACAGATCTCCTCTCCTAGGCTAACTGCAACCAGGAGGCAGCAGCTGTGTCCAGCCCTGGGTGGATGGAGAGGGCTTCCTCTGTGCGCTAGAAGGAAGAAACTCATTGGAAGGTCCCTGGTCTTTGGGCAGGAAGAATGATCTGAGTCTCCTTCCATTCTCCTTGTTTAACAGTGTGTTCTTTTCTCCCTGGGTGTTTTACTGATTGCTTTCTGAGTCTGCCTTTTTTTGAGTCAGCTTCTCACTGTGTAGCTCAGGTTGGTCTCAGACTCTTGGTGGTGTTCCTGCCTCAGCCTCCCAAGTGCTTTGATTGCAGTCGTGTGCCATTACACCTAACTGAGACTGTCTTTTGGATCCCTGTCTTGTCTTCCCTTCCTTTTTGTTTTTCTTACTCATGAAGGGCATTTCTGTAGCAGGCTTGTTCCCTGTCTTTGTTCATTCTCACTGTTCCTGCTGTGGCTTTTCCTAAGTAGCTGCTTTTGAATTGTTAGAGGCCACTAATTCACCTAACCAAGATAAGGGATGACTCCTGCTAGGTGCTCAAGTACTTGTGTCTAAGTGAATTTGTTTAAAATGAACATTAATTTGCTTTAGGAGGGCTTGACATGAACTTGCCTATGCTTTAAAAATACTTTTTGTTTTATTCTTGGTTCTCAGTAGTGTTGGACACTTACTTAAATTAGATGACCCTGGGTATGACTTCTTTTTGTCATGGAAAGGAGGCTTGAGTTTGCTTTTTATGATGAAGTTTTTATTTTATAAGAAAAATCACTCAAAGATAGATTGGTGATTCAAAGTCAGTTGAGGTTCCTTGAGTTTGTCATTCTTTCTGACAGGAGGTGCCATTTCAGTTCAGTAACATTTCTCTCAGGTATCTTTTGCATCCGTAAGCAAAATGTTATGCGCACCATTGCGCTGTTGTGTGTGTGCACTGTGATGTGCTCAGGAAGTGGCTTCAGGTGCCTGTGATGTGTGGGCACCGTAAACTGGGTGCTTTTGCAAGCCTTGCATTTTATCTTATCCTGACAAGAGTGACAGGAGATAAACATTTAGTGTCCCTGCTGTCCAGAGAAGGAAACAGCTTCCTTTAATAGTGCAAGGCATGCTCTGTGCTCACCTACATTGTACTTGGCAAAGCAAGGATTCTACCAGAGCCCTCATTTCTTGCTTGTTGCTGTGTTGCCTGTACTGTTGGCTTAGTCCTTCTGAGGTGCAGAATATTTCCTAGAGTGTAGTGTTAATCATCTAGTCTTATTCAAAAATACTCAAAAGTTCCCTGTTTATTATAGACTCAGATTTCTGACCTTGAAATTTAAGGCTTAGATGTCCACAGTTGTGTTTCCCAAAACACCATCATTCCTTCTGTGACAACCCCATTTTTAGGTCTTTCACCCCAGAAAGGATAGAGGCGCTGTCCTTTCTGTCCTTGATTTCAGCAGATGCTGCTGAGTCCTCCTAGTACTTCCGTTTCTACTTTGTGAGGCCAGCACCATGCAGGTGAGCATCACTGGACCCTTTACAGGCAACAGAAAAATGTCAGCGTGCCCAGCATGAAGGGATACGCTAGCTATCTTTCTAGCACTGTGACAAAATATCTGAGAGAACTGGTATAAAAGGAGGAAAGATTTATGTTGGCTCATGGTTTCAGAGGTTCAGTCTGTGCTTGCTTGGCTCTTTTGCTTTGGGCCTGTGGCAGTATGGTACATCATGGTGGCAATGTGTGGTGGAAGAGGCCTGGTCATGCTATAGCCCGGAAGCAAAAAAAGAGAAGAAGAGACCCTATTCCAACATCACCTTCCAGACCACACCCCCAGTGACATCACTTCCTCCCATGTAAGGAACATGGGATTTTGGGGAACACTCATCTAAACCATAGCATAAGAAAAGACTGAGACTGAGCAGAGATCCCTCAGTTGTCCAGGTGCTACAAGAAGCCAGAGAAATACCTCATGAGCAAGCAGATTGAGGTTGGACGTTCTGGAAACATCCATCCCTGTAGGGATGGAGTCTTAACCAGAGGCCTGCATCCTATCCAGAGTGCGGCCATGTTCAGTCTTTCCCTTGCTCTTTGTATCGGTATGAGCCTTAGACCTCCAGGCCTTGGGGGCTTGTCCTGCAGAGAGGGGCTGAGCCTGGTGCAGCCTGGCATTCCTGTGGGTTCTGCCAGCCTGGGTCAGGCTGTGTGGACAGCTGGGTTTTCCTTGGGCTGTGTGGATAAATGCATTCATGGTTGGTTAATAAATTTAGCCTGACTGTGTGCTGGCCTTCAGGAGATGAGAGAAGATTCAAAGTGTGGGGCTTTCTGCAAATGGGTGCTCATTGGAGAGCCATGCTGTGGAACAAGCGCTTTATGGATACTCCCTTAAGTCTTACAATGGTCTTGTAAGTCCCAGTTTTACAGATGAAGAAACTGAGGCAAGGAGTGGTTAAATGATACTTGCAGTGTTTCACAGTAGTAAAGACTGAGCAGTTTGTCTGGCTTGGGCATATACACTGTCAGGGTAGAGGCTCTGGGAGTTGCTGTGGCAGCTGGAGTCTGAGGACAGTGTTCTTTTTTTTTTTAAAAAAATCTCTTATTTATGTATTTGTTACAGGGTCTCACTATGCAGCTCAGACTCATAGTTATCCTCCTGTCTCAGCCTCCCCAGCTCTGGGATTACAGGAGTGCACCACCACACCCAGTTTTGGTGGCCGGTTCAGCACAGGGCTGGCATAGCATATGATATTGGGGATTGAATCCCGCTCCTTGCGCTTTCCAGGCAGGCACTTAGACTGCCAAGCAGTCTCCCTGGCCCCCAAGGACAGTCTTGAGGTAGAGTGCTCTCTTCTTCAGAGAACAACCTTTTTCTTTTCCCTTAAAGACCTTCAACTGATTGAGTGAGGCTGCTCACATCATGTAGGACTCTAATAAAGTCTGCTGGCTTCAGAGCTAATGTTGTCTGAAAAGCACTCATGTGACCAAAATTCTGGGCACTGTGTTCTCACGAGCTCACACGTTAGCCTTCGCACGCTCTTTAGTCCAGTCTCTGCTTTGGGCCTCCCAGTGTATGACTTGGTCCTTGTTTTCCTATGTTCCTGAAGCTACCTGAGTGTAGATTTCTCCCTCCTTTAAGGGTCAGACTTCTGCGGGCCAGGTCCTGTGCTGCATTCATCTTTGAATTCCATGTAGAGATAGCAGATCCTCAGAACACGGGCAAAGGGAAACTCAAGGCCTCATCCCAGTGCAGAGTCCCACCTCCCTCTTTCATGCATCTGTCTAGAGGCAAGTGATGACTTTCATTCTGTGATGAATGAGGGTATGTGACTCAGTGGCAGGAAAGGCTCTGCAGGAGGTTTTAAGGGAATTATGGTCAGGATACCTGGGCATGCATGAACTTTAGGGTTTTTTCTTTCCCATCAAAGTGCAGCTGAACAAAGGCTTAAAATTCCTTTCCATATTGCTGGGTGCAGTGAAATACACTTGGTGACTTGCTGGGAACTTTGCTTTTTTCCTTTCTTGGGTAGCTTTGTCAGGGTGCTTTGTGTCCTGAGAAAGGAACATCTTTGGTTGGGGCAGGAAACCTCAGTCCTCTCATGTCTACCTCTAGGGTGAGGGGTCTGTTCAGCAGTGGTAATTTTCAGTAAAGGTAGGAAAAATGACAGAGTTAGAATAGTAACAGCCAGGAGTGATGGCACACACCTGTCATCCCAGCACTCAGAGGCTGAGGCAGGAGGGTCGCCCTGAGTTTGAGTCCAGTTGGGCCACATAGTAAGTCCAAGGACAGTCTGAAGCACGTAGCAAGACACTGTCTCAAAAAAAACAAAAGTTGACACAACATATTGACCATCACACTGAGGCATTTTAAGAAGAGCTTTAGGCTGCTGCTTGGAATTATTTGGTAGTATTGGGAGTGCTGGACAAAGGTATAGGGAGACTAGTGACAACCTTGTACCAGCATTGAGACCATTAATGACCAAATGGAAGCTTTCAATAGGGATGGAAGCATGGTGCCATGGTGAATCGTGGCAGAACGGGTAGTGATTGGCACCTGCTCAGCTGTAGGAGAAGTCCTGAGAGGGAGAGGCCAGAGACTACATTTCAGCCACGAGAGAGTGTTTACCCTTTTGCCTCCATGCTGGACAGGGACTGTGGAGGTACAGATGGCGACATCTAGAGAACATACTCTTAAGTGAAATAAATCAGCCCCACATGTGCAAATATCATATTGTCTCCTTAGTGTGAGAACCTGAAAGAGAAAAATGGAATCTGAAGGGTACCATAGACACTGGTAAAAGCGAAGGAACTTATTCAAAAGGAAAGAGTTACTGAGTTGAGGAGAAGGGCAGGAGAGGAGTTGGGAGAAAGAAATTTACCTAGGTATGTAAGCGGGGATGGATTGGGCAACAGTACTGTGCATTTCTGCTGGTCTATGAAAACGAGCAGATAATACTTAATTTGTTTTGTCTTCTCTCAATTGTGCTTTTTATCTTCTTCATCTCTTATACTTTTTTTTTCTTCCAATTTTACATGCATGTTTCTGGTACTGTGAATAACTGGTTGGAAGACAACACTATGTATTACAGCAAATACTGTGAACTTCATATTATTTTGTTAAATGAAGTTCTGTATCATTTGTAAATTTTTTCTGTTTTAATTCTAATTTGTACTCTCTGAAAAAAGAAGAAGAAGAAATGGCAATAGTCAGCCTTCAGTGATAGGTGGGTGGCTGTAAGTTGGGGGGAGGTAATGAACAGACCATGTCTTTCTTTCCTGGGTGCTTGGAGACTATACGTGGCAAGGTTACTTTCCTCCAATAGGATATTTTCATTTGCAGTGTTTACCAGTTGATCTTTTTTTTTTTGGCCGGCTCAGCCAACCCTGGGGGCTTGGCTGGTGTGGCATGTGGTGCCAGGGATTGAACCACTGTCCCTGGGTGATTGCCTAAGCAGGTAGTTTAGACTGCTGAGCTATCTCATCAGCCCACCAGTTGATCTTTTGAAGTAGACTATTACAGTTAAATTTGTAACAGATGGACAAGAATTTTGAGGACGAGTACAGTTGTTAGAATCCTAGGCGAATGTGTCACTCCCTCTTTTTCAGACGTTTGCACGTGCTTATTTCAGGCCTGCCCCTGCTTGGTGGGTTAGGTCTGCCTGTGGGTTCTAGACTATCTGGCTCAGGCTCTTCTTCACAGGGAGTTTATGTTTCTGTCCTGGAAAAGCCCCCGTAGGTTCCAAGTGAGCTTGCTGGGGCCGCTATGAGGAAAATGCTGGGGCTGCCATATTTATTCTCTCGTAGAAATTTGTCCTCTCCCAGCTCTGGAAGCTGGGAGTGTGAACCAGGGCATCAGCAGGGCCAGTCACTTCTGAACCCTGCAGGGGCGAATCCGCCTTTCCCGTGTCCGGCCTCTAGTGGTTGCCAGTGTTGTGGTTTCCTTACTCCAGTCTTTCTCCCATGATCACGCGGCTTCCTTATGTCTGTCCTCACAAGGAGGCGAGTTGTGTTGGACTGAGAGGTCCTGCCCTCCAGTTTGAGCTCCTATTAATTATGTCAGCAGTGAACCTGTTTCCAAACAAAGACACGTTTCAAGGTCCTGGGGTAAGGACTTGAGAATATCTTTTTTTTTTTTTTTTCAGGGCAGGGGGCTTGGTCTGTTTGTAACTTCAAAACAAAACATCTTCCGATTTGATTTGAAACTGTCTCATTGCTATCTCTTTGTCAATAAAACTTTGAAAAAAAAATAAAAAAAACAAAACATCACAGACTGGTGTTTATAGAGAACAAAATTTTATTTTTCACAGTCCTGGTGGCCAGGATGTCCAAGGTCCAGGTGCTGGTAGGCTCAGTTGTCTGAAGAGGGCTGTTCTTCGTGCAGTGTCTCGGTTACTCTTCTCTTGTTGCTGGGACAACATACCTGACACCCAAAATGAAGGAAGGAAAGGTTGATTTAGCTCACAGTTACTGGAGGTTTCAGTCCATCCTTACCTGGCTCTAAGGCAGAGCAGCACATGGCAGAGAGTAACCTTTCATGGCAGTGGCAAAGAGTAGAGAGCACAAGGGAGGAGCAGCAGCAACAATGGCAGCGAGAGAGCAAGTCTGTCTCCCTTAAGTTTCATTCAGACTCTCTGCCCCCGGCTGGGTGCAGTACTCACGCCCGTAATCCCAGCAGCACTCACACCCATAATCCCAGTAGCATTCACACCCATAATCCCAGCAGCACTCACACCCATAATCTCAGTGGATCAGGAGTTAATCAACACTCTAGAAGTGCACTCCATGACTGCATGAGACTTTGGGAGGTACAGATAGACAAAACCCATAACACTCAGGTTGAAGCCTTGCTCCTGTATCCTTGAGGAGGTGTTGGGGCGGTGTCCTTACATGGTGGGAGGCCAAAGAACCCTAATCTCGTTCACTGAGAGGGGCCCTTGTTGTGGTAGAATTGCCTCTTACAAATCCCTGTCTTAAAAAGTACAATACTGGTCTCCCACGTGCCATACTTGGTACTTGGCCATGACCAAGAGGGCAGCTTCCAAGACCCAGACAGTGCGCTGGAGCGCGGTCACAGTGCTAGACAGGGCTCTGCCAGCTGAGCCAACACCACAGCCCGGAGACCACACCTTAGATACAGCAGGTAACTGGTCTGTTGGGTGGCTGGAACCTTCTAGCACAAGGGTCACAGAAGCAGTGATGTTTTTGGTGTGCTTTTGTTTCTGCAGCTTAAGCAGTCTGGTTTTCCTTTTTCTTTAGAACTTCCTGTTACTAGATGAGATACCACAGCCCAACCTTCAGGAGCCAACAGATGGCAAAACAGTAGTGGATGTGCAAGATTTCACTGCTTTCTGGGACAAGGTAACAGATCTTCCATTATAAAGTCGGGATTTCTGAAGGAGAGTGTATGACCCTGATTATTATTAATAGAAAATAAGTTTTTCCGTGTTAGATGAAACGTGGCTTGTTCATTATTCAAAGTATATTCTAAAAGTTCTCAGAATCAGGAGTAAGGTTTGCAGAGTATAACATCAGCCGAAAGTGTTTGACAAGTTGTTCTTCATCTCCTTTTCAAAAATATGTTTGCTTGTGGGAGGGAGGGTGCTGAGTGTCCCTTATCCTGTGTCCCTGGAAGGTGCCAGCCCTTTTTGTAACAGCCTTGGATAGGGAGCAGGTGTCCGGCCTTTGTTAGCTCCGTGGTTTCTTGAGTGAACGGTTTTGCTGTGCACCAAGTTGAAAGGTAAAGCAGGCGAGGCCGCAGGGCTCTTCCCACACGTGGTTTGCTCAGCACATCTAAGCAACTTAGAACACCAGGGTCTCGGAGTGCGCAGCCTGGCAGACGCCGTGGGTGTCCCCCTCTCTGCTGCGCCAAGGTATTCCATGCCTGAGCTGGTGGCCTGTGTGTGGAGCCTCCTCTCTCAGTCTGGGTTAGTATGGGAAACAAAATGCACAGTGCAGGAGAGGGAATTTTGTGCTCAGACTTTTTTGTGGAGGTGATAAAGGAGCCAAAGAGGAGGCAGTGGTGAGCACGGCCACTCAGGATTGGCAATGGCCAGAAGCTACGGGTTCTCACCCTGTGGGTGCCTGGAGAGCCTCTCTCTAGAACAGGAGCCAGGCAGGAGCTATCTGGGAGCAGGGACTGCGGAGGCTCCTGAGTAGACTGGAGGTGCTGGCGGGGCTGGCCTCTCCCGCTCTGCCTCCCAGCGCAGAACCCCGCTCTTTCCCACCTGCCTGGCATGCCCACCTGGTGCACTTGAAGTGTCCATTAGAAGCACCGCTAAAGTTCCACCATAAAAACGCAGTGGAGGTGGATGCGACGGGATTACAGCCCCGAAGTGGGCAACACATGCTCCACGGGGCCCCATTACCAATTCCTTTTATACAAAACTCTGCAACCTTCTAAATGGGGTGTATGGTGGTTCGTCCAAGAACTTAGCAACACGTTCTCTGGCTTTTCACAGCTGGGTTGCAGCGCAGAGCCCTCTGTTTCTCTGGCCTGGTCTGTGGGGTGACTGTGCCCTGTCCAGGGACCCCCAGGTGGTGCAGTCATGGGTAAGAGTCCTTAGGGCAGGGTGCAGGTGTGGGCTTTGTGGCGAGACACCGTGGTGGGTGGGTGCGCTGCGTGCCACGTGGGAGGTAGGAGCTATGCGGCACTGCGGCGCAGCCCCGCTGCAGGCCCAGCTGGGTACTGGGGGGCAATTCTTCTCACCAGCCCAGTCTGCTTCACAGACTGGCCTAAACTTTACAATTTATGACCCCGTGTGACCTCTGCATGTCTATAGGGGCAGAGATTGCTCTCAGCATTGGTGACTTGTGCCTCAAAAGGCTTTTCCAAGCCTGCATCAGTCAGCGTGAGCCGGCCCAGGTAACCTGGAGGAAAAGGCCGGTTGCCATTGAATGCTGCCCCCTTCTGGTTACAGTGGAGCAGTGCTCTGACCTCCTGAGCTTCTGCTTGGGGCAGGAACCCCTCTGCTCTAAGGAGAAGCTGAGGGGTGGCTGCTGATGGGGAGGCAGGTTGTGTACAGCTGTCCTCCCTGATCCAGGACATGCTCCCCTTCGGGGATACCGGACTCATTTTTAAAGAATTATGTCTTTGGGGATCAGCAGCAGGATGAATTGCCTTTGATTCATGCTTGATCCTTTTTTCCTCCTATATGGAAGAACATATCCCAAAAGGCGTTGCGCAGAATTCCAGCCTTTTACAAGGGTACGTTACACACATGTGGGGCTCAGAGGAATGGTGGAAGACAACAGCGGGAAAGACTCTCAGGTCCACTCTCAGGTCTACTGTGGGATATCCAGATGGGAACGTTGCTGTGGGAAGAAAGCCCCTTCAGATTGGGCTCCAAAGAGCAGCTTTTAAAACTTCACTTTTAGTAGTTATTTTCAGCATTTTTTTCTATCAGAGTTGTGGATTTGCTGTATGTGATTACTGCTATTGAGCTTCAGTGCTCTCAGTTTAAAATTATTGTGCTGCTTAGCTTTCCCATTGCCTGGACAAAATAGTCTTCACTCCCAAGCTCGAGACGAGCTTTGTCCCGCCTCTCAGTTGCTCATGGCAGACATGGCATGGTGGGAGAGCATGGGAGAGGAGGGCTGCTCAGCCCAGGCCTCTGGGAAAGCAGAAGGCAGAGTAAGAGTTAGAGAGGGCCGGGGCCAGGGAGTCCCCAGGGTTACAACCCTGTGACCCAGTGTTCCCAAGAAGGCCCCACTGATGAAGTTATTGTCCCACCATATGGTCACCTCTCTAGGAGTCTTGAGTCCCATCAGGGTGAATGTCGGCTGATCGGCACCAACATTGTTCTTTTTACTTATGCTGCCTGAATTTCACCAGAAGGATAGGTTATTTGGAGGATGTAAGGTTGAAGGGGAAAGGAAGCCTCATTTTAGTTCATCTTCCACAACACTCTTAATCTCTCAGTTGATTGTAATAATTTAGAAATTTGTTTTGTAGAAGTAAATTTGATTTGGTCTCTTAAAAAATAAAGTGAATTGAGAAATGCTAAAACAAAATTTTTGTGACATTAGCAGTTATTGAGAATTTCCTTGAAACATAGTACAGGTTTTGCATCCTTGATCTGAATGCTTGGGATCAGAAGTGTTTCCCTTTTGGATATTTTCAGGTTTTGAAATATTTGTATGTATATACTGTGACATTTTGAGGGTGGGACTCAGGCTTAGATCCAAAAGTTGTTTGCATGTCTTATACACTTTGCACATATAACCAGAGGGAATTTTATACAGTGAAGGT